ATAATAATAGCAAAGGAGAATATGAAATTACCAATAAAGGATTTCAATTTTTATTACAAGATGTCAATACACAAGTTTGGGCATTTTTATTACAATATTTAGAATTAGCTGATCAAGTAATGCACATTTATATATATATATATATATATTTTTTTTTTTTTTTTTAATTATAATATATTTAAAAAATTTTATTATAATTTATATATAGATGTTGAATATGAATGTAGTGGAAGTTTTAAATTTTTTTTTCATGTTGGGAAGTTTAGAATTAGGAAAGGCATATTTAATTGATAAATTAACTGAAACTCAAAAATGGTTACTTGATGATTTAATTAATTTTGGTTTAGCTTATAGAAGAAAGGTAAAAATAAAATAAATTAAAAATGTTCCTTTACCCAAAAAATATTTTGTTATTTAATTATACTATATATATCCTAATAATAATTAAGAAAACCTCTTCAAGATATTATCCAACAAGATTGGCTACAACTTTAACATCGGGAAATTCAGCTATTGGATCCACTAGTTTAGTTGGTGGATCGTCGTCATCATCATCGTCATATGTTACTACTGGTGGAAATGAAAGCGGAGTTAATGATCAAGGATTCATCATTATTGAAACCAATTATAAATTATATGCTTATACTGGTAATTATTTTATATTTAATATATATCATGATGAATATATTGATGTTTTAATATTATTTTTTTTCCAAAATAAAAAAATAAAAGAATCATTATTACAGATTTCAGTTATAAAATTATTTTGTGAATTGCAAAGTAGATTTGCAAATATGGTATATGCTAATATAACAAGAGATAGTATTAGATCAGCTTTAAGGCACGGAATCACTGCTAATCAAGTATGTAAAATAACCAATAAATACGAGTTTATATGTTTTTTTTCTAATAAAAATTTTTTTAATGAAAAAGATAATATCGTATCTAACAAGTCACGCACATCCACAAATGAAAAAACAAATGCCGTTACTACCACCTACAGTTGTAGATCAAGTTAGATTATGGGAGATAGAACGTAATAGATTGTCTATTGATGACGGTAATATATAAAAAATAAACAGACAACACTTTTTATTTATATATCATTTAATTAATTGATTACCTTTATTATTATTTCCAGGATATTTGTATAATGATTTTAGAACTCAAGCAGACTTTGATATGCTTTTAAAATACTGCAGGAAGCTAAATATAGTGCTATGGCATAGTGAACAAAAGCGTATGTTTTGTGTAACAGAGAAAGGTCATGAATATGCAAAAAAATTTATAAATAAAAGAATTGCTCAAAGAAAAGCCGATGTTGGTAGCGGTGTTGGAAGTAGTAGTAGCAGTAGTAACAACAGTTTAGGTAGAGTTGGTACTGGTAGTAATAGCGGTGGTAGTAGAATGAGTACTGGTGGTGATACTCGTGCAAGAGTTAATCCAAAATAATTTTTATTTATAGGAATTTAATTATTGTTATTATAAATAAAAAATTATATTTATATATATATATAATACATAGCAAAGAAAAATATTACAAAATTTATTATATTATTATACAAATTTTAAAATTAAAATAATTAAATAACATCATCATTTCATCTTCTCCTCCGCTCAATAAAGCATTTCTTCAACCTTCTCGTCCTCGTCATCGTATTCTTCTTCTTCTTCTTCTTCTTCTTCTTCACAAATATCTGAATCAGGCTCACTATAAGAATGCAAAACAATGGTTCCCAAAGTTAAATTTGAACCAGACCAATTGGTTGAACTTATAATAGGTAAATAAGGGTGCCAACTAGCATCCCTAGTAACTGGTCTATAAAGTAATAGCTCATTACGACCATTATAAAAATAATTATAATAATTTTTTTGTTTTTTGGCTTTTGATACATCCAAAGTTTGAATTACACGTCCATCAAGACTAAAAATCTAATAATAATAATAATAATATTGATTAAATCGACTGTATATCTTAAATATTAAAATTACTACTTACTCTAATACAACCATCTTCAGAACCTGTATATAAATAGCTATTTAAAAAAGTTATTTATTTATTAATTTAAAATAAAACTATATTTCTCCAACAATAATAATGTACCTCAATATAAAATTATTCTATATATAATTTTAATTATAACTATAGTAATTACCTGTGACCAGTGCTAGCAGGTGAGAAATGACAACGAATCAATGTCCTTAGTACACTATGGCCTCGATAAGTCATAACAGATACATTTTGTGGATGTTCAAAATATATATCTCCCGGATATCTCATATGCCTATAATCCCATTTTCTACGTCGAAGATTTACTGGAGGTAGTCTTTTATATTGGTCACCCGACATCATTTTTCTTATGTCCCATAATTTCATTTTTTGATCTTTGCCGTTTGATAAACAATATCTACCATCACCCTTCGATGATACATATGTCAAACCCTCAGTATGACCAACTAATACACCACATTCTTTTTCATTATGCATTGACCGTCGATCCCTACCATATAATAATATTAATATTTATAATTTTATAAAAAAATTTATTATTTAACATACCAAACTTTAATTAAAGAGTCATCGCTGCCACTGAAAAGAACATGCGATGAATCATCAGCAAAGCACACTGCATTAACATGATCCTTATGGCCATCAATTTCAAGAATTACTTCTTTTCTTTCAATATCATAGACTAATAATGATAATAATATGAAGATTTCAGTGATTAATAATTATAATGAAAATAATAATAATAACTATAATACTAATTATAATGGGAATATCAATTATAATGCTAATATTAATTGTAATGATAATAATTACCATAAATACATCTACTAGAACCACCACCAACGAGTTCTCTAGAATCATTGGAAAATCGAATAGACCACAACTATTTAATTAATTATTTGATGAAAAATCAATAGTTATTAAAAAATTATGATATCTACTGTTATCATTCACCAATTTTACTATATCATTACTTGCCGCATATAATTCACCATTGTCAAAATCTAAAATTGTTTGGTAATCTTCTTCAACATCAGTCTTTGCTAGACATACAGATGGTGTTATACTACTGTATGCTATCCATTTATTATCATTACTTAGATTAGCATCCGTTATCGTCCATCTTCCAAATTCCTCCTATTATTGTTATTAATAATATTGTTAACGATATTACTAATAGTGATAATAATAACACTAGTACTAGATATTAATTTACCCCGCTGATAACTTTAATTTCTTTAGGATCCTGTGGATCATTTGTATCATATATGCGAACACGAAAATCTTTACTACAAGAGTAGAATAATGAGCCATCTTGAGAATATTGTCCAGAATATGCAGGTTCAGCATATCGAAGAATCACTTTTCCATTAGTGTTTGGAATGAATTTCTAGTAATGTCGGATTACTATTATTATTTGACTATTAGATTTTAAGGTTTTTTCCTTCCACACACACAAAAAACAATTAGCTTACTTTTCTAAATGGTAGGTTAGAAATTTCTCTTGGAACCAATTCACGTAACAATAATTGACTACAAATATTTTTTGAAAATAGTTTAATTCCATTCAATGTCTTTTCGTGCGAAGGACCTATCTATATATGTAAATATAAAATATCAATCCAATTAAAAAAATGCCCAACAATTAAAAATGATTTTCTTTCGTACATACTTTTGCACATCCAAATTCACCAGAATTGAGCAATCTTTTACCAGAATTAAATTCACCATTTTCACTATCATCGTCGTCATTATCAATAATATTACTTGAATTTGTTATTTCTTCTTTAAATTTATTGAATTTGATTAGATTTAGATCAAATGAAAAAAATAATTCCAATTATTATTACCAATTGAATAGTCGAAAAGATTAAATAAACTCATATTAAATATTATAAAAAAGTTCAAATAGCATCCGGAGCCTGATGGGTCAATACTTAAAAATTTATTTGAGCTTCTTATTGAAATATTGATTGGAAAAATGATACCCTTAAGAAATATTAATGGATTTAATCACGATTTTCAGTCCAGTACTTTTCCAAATTTGGAAATAACAAATATTGCAATGATCAACATCCTAAATAGTAAATTTGCACTACGTAAAAATTTGATTGGCTGAATTTCCGCCTTTTTCTCCTTTTCTTTTCTCAAAAACTCACATAATATGAAAAAATTTAACTGTTCATAGGTCTCCTGGATGTGTGTTCCCACATCAAAATCCATTTAAACAAATATTTAATTATTTTAATTTTTTATTTGAATAGAATTTCATGGGTTTTTTATGAACAGTTAAATTTTTTCATATTATGTGAGTTTTTGAGAAAAGAAAAGGAGAAAAAGGCGGAATTTCAGCCAATCAAATTTTTACGTAGTGCAAATTTACTATTTAGGATGTTTATCGTTGCAGTATTTGGTATTTCCAAATTTGGAATAACGAATGATCAACAAAGTTTCAGCCAATGAAATCAAATGTCCACTATGCTAGTTGTACATGGGCATGCTGCAACAAAACCAGACAAATGTGAACATTGGTATTAACAAGAATTACAGGGATCAAAATTTAGTCATTTGTAATGTGATCATAATTAACAGAGCCGTTTTTTGTTTATATAAACAAAAAACGGCTCTGTTTAGACTATTATAGTCTCAGGTATGACGTGCGTTTTGCGTTCTACGACACATTCGAGTGACGTGTGTTTTGCGTTACCCCCGTCATACCTGAGACGTTTATAGTCTATATATTGGGTGCTATATAGGTTGCATTCGTATTGCCATCTGAGAACCGCTGAGACATGCTCCAGTATGACGTACATTTTGCATTTTAGACCGCACTCGAGTGACGTGTATTCTGCTTTTTACGACACGCACCATGGTGGCGCATTTTATGTATCAGGCCACGTGGATATAATGTATGTCAGTTTAGTAATTCTGGCCAATTTCCGTCATTGGCTCACATGGGCAAAAAAAATATGTCCCCAGTATTGATTGCGGGTTGATTAGCGGAGTATATATTTAAGAAGGCGCCTGATTTTTTCAAGCCCAGACTCCGACATGTAACATTTGTGTCCATCGTCCACACGTGTGGACGGTCATCTATAAGTAGCACTCTTGGAAAATGCTTATTTTGGCCTTGTATCTTGAATTCGAATGCCGGGTTTGAGGCACGAAGTGTCGAAATAGAGCTCGTGATCTGGCTTTGCATATCGCATTCGAATGCCAGGTTTGAGGCACATAGTGCCGAAATAGTGTTCGTATCCTGGCTTTGTATGATGCATTCGAATATCGATTAAGGATGAGGCACGTAGTGCCGAATTGTTAACTGTTATAATGCATTCGAATATCAATCGAGGATGAGGCACGTAGTGCCGAATTGTTAGCAGTTGTTAGCTTCGTATAATTCATTCGATTATCACCCGATGATGAGGCACGTAGTGCCGAATTGTTATCATATCTGGTAATACCCCAAAGCATAATTTTATATATTATATATCTTTCTGTAATAATTATACCTTGGGGTATTACTTTTTTCAGTCTTTAGCTGGCTTATACTAATACCTAAATCGTACTTTTATATATTTCAGAATATTACTATATCGAAAAACTTTGGGATATCACTATATCGAAAACTTTGGGATATACTATTGAAAACTTTGGGATATCACTATGGAAATTTTTGGGATATCACTATATCAAAAACTTTAGGATAATATTATATCAAATATGTATCAAAAAACGTGAACGCTATTTATAATCAGAAAATGAACTTTGGAGTATCACTATATCAAAAACTTTGGAGTGTCACTATATCGAAAACTTTGGAGTATCATTTTTTTCAATATCTTAAAGTATCATTTTTATTAATACCTAAATTGGGCAACACAAAAATGGTTATCGAATATGTACCTCATATATCAGAAGCACTTACCTGAAATTTATCTCAATCAAAATCGCGCGACGCAAAAACCTGAACCTCCAAGGTTCAATCCGGATTTTCATATACTGAACTTTTTATATGTTTTATGATACACTTTACTTGGAATACGAAGTCCATGAGTCATTGCAAATCGATCCATTAAGGCTACCATCTCTTGAGATTTTTGCAGAATGCTAGATTTATATTTTTCTTGTTAGTTCTTTGTAACATTTTTATTATATTTGTATTCTGAATTTTAAATGCAAGAATCAAAAGACATACCCCTTTAAAATTTCATACCTATAACCTGTTTGATCAGCCAGAGTTAATAGCATGCATTATTAAAAATCTGGTACCAAAAGATCTCGCAAAATGTCTTCATATCAATTATATATGGGAAAAAGAAGTGAGACGTGAGTTCCTTATAAGGCAAAAAAAACTTGAAGATAGATATTGGGACTTGAGGTGCAAAATAAAAAAAGCGATAAAAGATCTTGATAGTTGTTACGAACCTAGGACTCATCCAGAGATAATCACAACTGGGCCACC